AATACATATTTAAAAATTTAGCCATAGGTCTTGACAGCAAATGAATCCTTCAAAATCACTTAGGACTTTAATTTTATAAATGGGGAAAGTAAACACCTAAAAGTCTTTCATTTCTCAATTAACCATTAGTTAACTGCATCATCACAGATCTGAAATAATGCTTCCAGAGTGCTGTGGGCTGATGTATTCCACACCATGCTTAACTTGTAATCAAAGTATTGTGTAAAAACTTCATTTTAAGCATCAAAATTCTACAATGACAAATGTGTCCGTGCATACATGTGTACATTAAAAAAGACAGTCTTTGATTATGTATAATGATCAATAGAAATCCGTGTCAGAATGGAAAGGTGGCTCAGTGGTTAAGAGCAATGGCTGCTCTTGCGCAGGACCAGTGTTTGATTGATTACCACCACTCACATGGTGGCTAACAACCGTTAGTAACTCCCGTTCCAGGGGAATCTGACACCCTCCTCTGACCTCTGTGGCCATTGCAGGACATGGGTGAACTTACATACATGCAGGCAGTACAGTCATACACATAAAATAAAAGTAATAAAGTATTTTAAAAAGAAATCCCTGTCATTTTAGGTCTGATTCAACATCTGCTAATAGGGTTTTAGCAAATGGATTTAGTAAGCCAATAGTCATGTTCCAGAGTAAACATGGCTCTGAATGAATGCATGCTTGTGACAAAGCTGATTTTTCTTTTAGTTGATAGAATCAATAACTGAATCAGATTTAGGCCAAGTTGACTTGGCAAAAGTAATCTAGGTTATACTATTTTAGTAGCAGCCTTGAGCTAATGGAAACAAAAGAGAAATACAGAATCCCAAAGGTCATCCAAGGGCAGAAATTCATCTTTTTTTGTGATATGAATACCCATATTATTCCAAGCCATTCTGTTTTACATCTAATTCTTAGCTGACAAGTATCCGTTTTTCATGCCTATTCATTCATCACCCTTGTGCTCACTCTGCCTGCAAGGCATCCGGCCTGCCTTCTATCACGTCTCTGCAAATGATAAAGGATATGCTTAAGATGTTACCCGCCCTTCCTTGCACGGCCACAGTATAATATATCCTATGCTCATTACACAATCTGAAAGCGAGGAGGAAGGTTTTATGGCAGGAATTAAAAATGTTTCTCAGGAAGAAATAATTGCTTTGGGGGGTGCTAAATATGAGATCATTTTAGAAATTAGATAAAATTTATATGGAATCTGAAGCCAAACCATTATAACAAAGTAATGATACAATGTTCATGATAGTTTAGTTACATCTATCTCTTAAAGTTGGTGCCTCTGGGATAGATCTCCTTTACCTAGGTTTTCTCAGTCAGGAAACAAGGACCACATAGATGTACACTCATGTAACAGGAATTTGAACTCTGTGCCAAAACACATACCATATCCTAAAAAGATTTACAGCATACTACACCAAACCCAGTGTCCCTTAATGGAGCTACTGCCATGTGTCACCACAAAATTGTGGAAAAGAGTAGTAGGTACTTATAAGGTCATTTTCCCATATCTCCCATACTTCTCAAACTAATGGCGTCTCTTTACATCCTCCCTGCCCTTGTCCTACTGAACTCTTCACTTCTTAAAGCTTCATTTTCCTCTTGGCTCTATTGCGCCTTGCTTCCTTGGGTACGCTCTCACCTCTGTGCTTGATCTGTTTCATTTTTGCTGGCCGTCTTTCTGCTTCAGTGTTGCTGGCCTCATTTCTTAATGCTGCATTCTGTCCCCTGGTGGTAGCATCTATTTCCAGAGCTTCAGCAGCTAGCTACCTAGGCAGCCAAGCACAAAAAGTCCCTTCAGAACTACTTTAAGCTCCAGGTAAGTGTTTCTGAATGCAGGAGTCAGTCACCTCAGAGAACATTTGGTATTGTCTGCATCCCCCCCCCTTTTTTTTTGTCACAGCTCAGAGGTGTCCTCCTAGAATATAGTGGAAAGAGGCCAGTATTACTGAGAAGCATCCTGCTGTGGAAAGAGCAGACTCACAACAAATGAAATGACCTAGTCCCAAATACAACAGTGCTAACTATTATAAACCATGATCTATGCCTAATGGACAATTCCATTTGAATGCCTACAAATACACGGACTGAGTATGTAATAATGGAAAGTTACCTTTCTCTGCACTTTGCTGCCTACCTCCACACTATGCCATTTAATCTTGGTGTGAACTTAACAGTGCATTTGCTTCAAAGATAAGCATATCCTCACCTCCTGACATTCTTCAAATGCCTGTGTCTTCCTAAGAATGTCCTCATGTCAACTATCAGCTGAGTTCAGAACCCTCTCATCTCTACTGGTCTACTCAAACCTGTCCCTAGCTCTGACTTCTCACTACCACTGCAATCCATCTGCCACCCAGGACAATATGATAGCTGACATCAATCCATTGCTAAGGCCTTGGAGCACTGGCCATTCCTTACGTGGGCAAAGAGGCTTTTCATTAGCACATCTTAGCTTACCTTTCAAATCTCACTTTTGCATCTGACACATCTTTAACCTAAGTATCTCATGAAATGGCTACCTTAAGCAAGCAGGTATTGATAAATACCAAATGAAAATTTTAAACTATTTGGATGAACGGATACATAGATGATTGATTGATAGATTAGATGATAGATAGATAGATAGATAGATAGATGATTGATAGATGATAGAAAGATAGATAGATAGATGATAGAAGATAGATAGATAGATAGATGATAGATAATAGGACATGATATGAT